AAATGAACCCTAATTTCTGTGGCACAGAGTTAGAATCTGCGGCTCAAGAGACCTCATGTTCTTCTATTCCAGAACAATCATAATCACTCATTAAACAGATAATATCGCAACTACCACAAATGAAGGGGTTCAATCCTTCTGAGGAGATCAACAATATCCAAGAATCACACAACTTGAGTTCAAGCATCAATACTGCAAAAAGTAACGCACCAACCACAGCAGTTCCAGACTACAAACATAACAAGACTAGTGTAGGTTAACATGATTTCTATATGGGGCATTGCACTTACTTTACTAGTACTTCGTCTGCAAGTGTTGGTACAAAAATCCTAGTATCAATATTTTCATTAAATATATTTTTTTTATGGTAAACAAATTGACAGTTGGTAAGTTTGAATTGACAGACACGCCAAGACAACAATGAGTCGAGTGATACATACAATCAGTTAAATGAGGAAAACATATGCATGCCAAAAGGGAGGAGAAGAGGAAATACTCACAGTATGAAAATCCAGCACATGAAGATCACTAAAAAAGGCTGAATGAGAACAACCGCCAAAAACTAGAAGGTAGTGGTCTGCATGCATTGCGGCAGTGTGATCAAATCTTGGAGCTGGCGGTGTCTGCCTATCAAAACCCAAGGAATGATGAAGCAGTCTCCCAATGTAGTCAAGTACGTGACTAAACAAGCAGAATTTGAATACTTACTTTGTCTCCACCAAATCCCAGGTTAACGTCTCTAAATCAAGAACGTGGATGTCATTTATAAGCCTCCTGCTACTGTCTTCTCCGCCGAACATTATGATTTTAGAACCAAAAAGAGTCGCTGAATGTCCAGCACAAGCAATCTGAAATATTAAATACTCGATAAGCAATATGATCAAGATCGTTTTGAGGGGTGAAGTATAAGCAAAACTTTTCTAAATATTAATACAGCGTAAGCATTGAATCAAAATTAAAAAAACTTGGTCAAATACCGGAACTTTTCCAGAAGTCTCCATAACACTCCATGTGTCTGTTTCTAGATCAATGCAATGAACTGCAAGGACCATAAAGAGAGAATATGGTTCCAGAACCCAATTAAGAAACATATTGCAGCATAGAAACACAACGTTATTCATTGCAGCAGAGCGTTATGAAATATTATAAAGGGACAGTATAGTCACATAGACAGTAATGTAGTTCACAGAGCACAAACCCAAAATTCTATCAGACGATCCTTTTAAATTTCCACCAAGCATAATGAGTTTCTTATCCCATTTGACCTGCCAATTAAAATTAACCAAGCAGTTCTTCAGGTGACAAATGACATGAATCAACATAGGTACGGTATGGGGCATGTAATAGCTGTACCAATAAGAACGTCTTGGAATGCTTACCATACTATGCCCTGCAATGGGTGGGAGAGCCTCAACTAGGCCACCATTGCCTTCAGAATTCTCTACACCAGGATTCATTTGAAGTTTAAGAGCGGACCATGAAAAATTGCTAAGGTTCAAGACCTGTTTATAGCAAATGACAATCAGTCCAATGAACATGAACATAAACCTAAGTAGGCTACCACGTTTGATACCTGAACATCAGAGAGATATCGGCCATTACGGCTTCCACCGACAATGTACAGTTTCTCATCAACAACTGCTGCAGCATGCTATCGTAAACAGATGAAATCACCGAAATTAGCTAGCACAATCAAGATTGCCTCGAGAATCTACACCACGTCTAGCACACAAACCAAAGAATTCCCTACGCAATCCAACATCAAATCAAATAATTTACCTTATAACGAGCTGGCGGTCGAGAACCAGTCACCGGCAAAGCTACCCACTGATCATAGGCCAATCCCCAGCGCCAACTGTCGACATCCATTGCCTATCTGCAAATCATTCGAGGGCACAAAATTCGCAATTGAAAACACAATTACAATGACTACACTAACGGAACTTGACAAAATTGCACCACAAAACAGGATACGAGAAGTAAACAGGAAACATTCGAATCAGAGAGATACAATCGGATAATAAGAAGAAATCAAAGTACCTGAGGATGATTGGTGATGAATTACTACTACCAGAAAAGTTGTAAGAGAATTATAGCCGGCGAGATTCACAAAAAAAATAAGAACGATTAACGACACAATGCGGAGATGACGATAATGCAGATCAAGCAAAAAACAAGAACAACATCGTCCGATCTGGTTCAGAATTCGGACAAATCCCGCTCTGAGTCCGCGCGCGCGCGCGAGAGAGAGAGAGAGAGAGAGAGAGAGAGAGAGAGAGGGATGAGTATGCGGAGCGGACCACCGTAAAAGGTCAAAGTCGTCGTCTTTGCTTGTTCATGAAAGAGTTAAGATCGCCACGGACGTCCCAGAATTTTTAGCGGACGAAAGTATAAAAGTTCCACAAATTTAATTTTTATTTGTGGTCCTAAACTTTTAAAATTATCATTTTGGCCACGAATTTTTAGATTAATTCTACTTTTTACCCATTAACTTTGAAGATTTCTATTTTAGCAACCGAACTTTTAAAAAATCGCCTATACATCCTTATATTTATTTTTAATTCAATAAACTAATAACATATAATTAAAATTGAATATTGAATAAAAAATCTATAAAAAAAAAAAAAAATCTATATTCTTGTATGAAAATGAGATGTATGGTTGCCGTTCCAATCGTATAATGTTTATAATGGACGCTTGAAGCTACTTCAAGGAATTTTTCCTCATCGTAACTGTTACGGTTTTCCCGACAATATATATATATATATATTGCTTGATACCGTTTTTTTTTTTTTTTTTTAA